TACGTTGGCGGCGCGCCCGTGGGAGTGCGAGGCAGCGATAGACGGGGGGGAAGACGCAGGTCATGACTCGAGTCTCGGTCCTTTTCTGGACGACTCGGGTACCCCTGACCGCTCTTGGCGAGGCGCAGTTGCAGGAAAGCGCCACAAAGCTGGAAGAAAACACTGTGTGAGCCGACAAAAAAAAACGCCAAAATACCTTTTTCGACCGAGACATCCGACGAATGCGCTTGCTTGTCTCAATGCGTGGCTCCAACGGTCCACGTCTCTGATGGCAATGGGGCCCGATAATGGGCCCCCGAGTCAAAACTGAAGAAAAAAATATACAGGCGATGGACCCAACCATATGCAGTTACGAGTACCGCAAAGCAGGTTGAACGAATGAGAGGGAGCTCCTTATGGGGCCACGAAACGTGTGAGGGGTGTGCCGAAATGGGTGCGGTGCCGCCATGCGGACGCAGCCACTGGGGCCCTCGGTGGAGCTCCCTATGGGGCCACGAAACGTGTGAGGGGTGTGCCGAATTGGGTGCGGTGCCACCATGCGGACGCAGCCACTGGGGCCCTCGGTGGAGTTCCCTATGGGGCCACGAAACGTGTGAGGGGTGTGCCGAAATGGGTGCGGTGCCGCCATGCGGACGCAGCCACTGGGGCCCTCGGTGGAGCTCCCTATGGGGCCACGAAACGTGTGAGGGGTGTGCCGAAATGGGTGCGGTGCCGCCATGCGGACGCAGCCACTGGGGCCCTCGGTGGAGCTCCCCATGGGGCCACGAAGCGTGTGAGGGGTGTGCCGAAATGGGTGCGGTGCCGCATGCGGACGCAGCCATTGGGGCCCTCGGTGGAGCTCCCTATGGGGCCACGAAACGTGTGAGGGGTGTGCCGAAATGGGTGCGGTGCCGCCATGCGGACGCAGCCACTGGGGCCCTCGGTGGAGCTCCCTATGGGGCCACGAAACGTGTGAGGGGTGTGCCGAAATGGGTGCGGTGCCGCCATGCGGACGCAGCCATTGGGGCCCTCGGTGGGGCTCCCTATGGGGCCACGAAACGTGTGAGGGGTGTGCCGAAATGGGTGTGGCTGACGCGGAGGGGGAGGAGGGAGGAGGGGGCAGAGGGAGGAAGGAAGGAAGGAAGGAGTGAACGCGGGGCGCTGTCTCTTCAAAACGAGGACCCAACACCACAGGATGGTTGGGAACAACAACGACAACAAAAACTCCGATACTGAAGACATCAGCGTCGTCGGCAACACGGGAGGGACAAATCCTGGAGGCTGAGGGGGAACGTTCGGGGTGGGGGCCGCTCAGGATGGGCAGCCTCGAGCTTGAGTTGGCGATGCATTGCTGATTGATCGGCCTTGGAGTACTATGTGGGACCTGCTCCAGAACAGGAACATACCGCAGACGGATCTACCCTTTCTTTGCACCGAGCCGAACGCAACGGCCCCGTTGTCCATAGACGTCTCCATCCCGAGAGTGTCTCTGGACGCCACAGCACCCAAAGTGTCCAGAAACGCCTTCTGGCCTAGGATGGGAGAACGGCATGTGGCATCGGCCCCAGACTTTGGTCGTCTGGAATGGGGGGCGCGCAAATTTGGATTAGCGATCCAAGGATGTGGCGCGCGGTCGCCAAGTCCATGGATCGGGGGAGGTGCCCTTCGCAGAATGCGGCCGGTGCCGCCTCGCTCGGCGGCGGAGTTCCGCGATCTCCCATGGAAGCGAGACCCGTCGCTAATCCACACGACCCCAGTGATCCACGTTTACGATCGCCTGGTAGAAGCAGGCAGGCCTGGCCCTCCAAAATGGAGGCGTCGAGTTTGCACTGGCGTTCGGTCGGGCGTGTCCCCCTACAGGGGAATTTTGGGGCGAAAGCTGCAAACCTATTCAAAAAAAATACCCCCCAAATGGACAAAAAAAATCCAAAACATAGTCCCCATACTATTTTCTGACTGTGTGTGAATACGGGGGAGGCCCCGGGACCTGGCAGCCCCCCCTGGGAAGGGGACCCCGCTTATGAGGGCCGTCCCAGGGGAGCGGAGGCTTTTCGCCCCTCGGGCCCGGCGCCCCCCGCCTGCGCCAGGAGGGCCCTGGGGTCCCGACCCCTCCCCTACGGGAGGGGCCCCCTCGGGGCGGAGGACGACGGAGGAGGTCCTCCACTGAGGGACAGGCCCGACTTAGCACTGGCGAGGCATCGCCGGCAGCTCGGCTCGCAGATTTTTTCGCGCGCGCGCTCTTCCGGGGGGGGCGAGCCGACGGGGCCCCCGCCGTGCGATCCACGCCCCCCTAGTCATCACCCCCCCTCTCTGGGACGCACATGGACATACTAATACTATATGTCCTCCTTGGAGGCGCGCGTCCGACCCGAATATGTAGTATACCCATCTTGTAGTATATCGTTTCCCGAGCGGTGTGGCCAGAAAGCGCACGCCACGACGCATATACTATAAGATTTCTCGGTGCGCGCGTCGCCCCTGGGGGGGCGACGCACATATATCTGCCGCCCCCGAAAGCAGGCAGGCCTGGCCCTCCAAGATGGAAGCCTCGAGCTTGCACTGGCGAGGCATCGTAACGGGCGAAAAAGGAGGGGAAAGCAAACGGGGGGGGGTGAGAATCAGCACACGTAGCTGAATTTCCCTGCGCCTCCCAGCGCCGGAGGCGGCTATGTATCGAGGAATGGGCCCCTCGGTGAGGCCGAAACCAGCTGCATGCAGCAAATTTCGTAACCCCCCCTTTCCCAATCCCCCCCGTTCGTCCGGCCCGAGAGTGGGCCAGGGACGTCTTGAGCCGGGGAGATATCGACCCCCGCCATGCTATCCACCACCCCTACACTTAAGCCGGGCCTGTCCTCCTAGACTGGGATTTTGGACGAACAAATAATCAGAACATACCCCCAAATGGTCAAACATACTAAACAAATCGTCCCCAGACTATTTGTTAACGACTTTTGAATATATCTCCTGTAGAGGTACAAGCCCGACTTAACCCTAGTCATCACCACCCTCTTTGCCGCCCCCGACAAGCGCGGCCCCCAGAAGTCCCGGCCCGTTCCCTGGGGCTGGTCTTGCGCCCGCAGTCATTGATTGCCCTTCCCGGGGCCAGGCGAGGGCCCTCTGTACCCTGACCTTTCAGAAAGCTAAAACACAGCCCTCCAGACCTACAGATCTATCTGCCTTTTCTACTGGGATCGCAGCGGTGGTTGCTAAGGGTATGGGGGGGGGTAGAAGTGGATGCTAAAGTGGGTTTGTCTGGCCTAGCCCGACTTATAAGTGGGTTACAAAAGTCCGATGCAGCTTCGGAAGATGAGGTAACTCCGCTAAATGGGCTCCGTCCGCCCACTTAGCCGAGATCTGCGCGCCCTTAAGCCACTTAGGGCACGTGCAACCCATTTCTAAGCTGGGCTAGGCTGGATTGAGCCCACCTTAGCATCCACTTGTGTTCCCCTATCCACTTAGCAACCCCCGCGGCCATCCAAGTGAAACGTCGACAGGAATTTAGGTGTCGAGGTCCTGGTGCTGTTCTTTAGCCCTCCTGGAAGGTCAGGGTCAAGGCCGCCAAGACTGCGAAACGCCTCCGCCCATGGATCCTCCCGCACGCTGCACATGTCTGGGTATATAGGCTGGGCCCCTACCAGCCCCCCGCCTCTCTCCCGCAGGGCACGCGCCCGCGGTGCACCCCCCCGCCATTCTCCGGCGGGGCACTCGGGCAGGTGGTAATGGAGGGTGGCCCAAATCAGGGGTGAAGAAATGGGTCCTAAAGGGGCCATTTTGCATGGGCCCCTCTTTGGGGCACCAGCTGGCCCCAATCAGGGGCCCTAAATGGCCACCTTTTGTGCTCTTTTCTTCGCCCCTCATTCGGGACCCCCCCATTACTGGAGGCCTCCTACATGGGGTCGGAGTAGATGGGGTCGGAGGCTCGCGCCGCATCGGCGATACATCGGCGATGTATCGGTGATGCATCGGCTATGCACCAACGATGCATCGTCGACGTCGGGGATGCAGCGGCGACGTCGATGTGGAGCAAACCGGGCCTCACATAGAGCCGCACCTCCCATGCATCGGCCATGCAGCGCGATCCTCCGACCCCGTATCGTCCGACCCGATCTAGGAGGCCTAGCATTAAGTCGGGCCTGTCTCCCTACAGGGGGATTTTCGACGAAAAACAAAAATACCGCAAAAATAATTTAAAGAAAAAATGATCCCAAAATAGTCTGAGGGCTATTTTTTTAGTATCGTTTGATCTTTTTGGGGTATTTTTGGTGTATTCTTTTATGAGAAAATCCCCCTGTAGGAGGACACGCCCGACAGAAGCCTAGCACTACCACCCGCCCGAGGCACGCGGTGCCCCGCGCCCCCCTCTCCGGCGTGGCGCGGCTGCCAAATCCATGGTTTTAGGGGGGGGGCGCCCCTCCCCAAAATGCGGCCCGTGCCGCGCCGCTCACGATGGCGGAAGCCCGATGCCTCCCGCGGAAGTGGGACCGTGACGTCATGATATGATTCTCTCATGACGTCAACCCCAGAGGTCTGGACCCCTTCCCCGGGACCAGTGTTTCGTCCTGGGTCGTTCTTTGAGGGTTCCGGGGCCCAGTAGGGGCCCCCGAGGGCAGAAAATAGGGAGAAACCTTTCGTCATGATTCTTTTCATTCCTCGAGGGGGTCTGGGGCTCAGTGGGCCCTGGAAACGACAGGGCCGACTTTCTACCGGTTCCGTTTTGCCGTTTTTGTTGCCGGTTCCGACGCCGTTTTTTTACCCGTTCCGTCGCCGTTTTTTGCCCGGTTCCGGCTCCGGTTCCAATCCTGGAGCCGTTTTTGTTGCCGTTTCCAGTCGCCGTTTTCTTGCCGTTTCCACTTTCAGGGGACATGTTTATGGAAACGGTGAAAAAACGGCCCTGCCGTTTCCGGGGCCCACAAAGAGCGGGACCCGTCGCTAGTCCACGTCCCCTTGATCCATGCTTGCGTGCGGTCGCCTGAGCTGGGGTCCCCCCCCGCGCGGCGGCCCCTTTTCTACAGGAACGCCGCCCCGGCCGCCGCGGCCGCCCGCGGCCGCGCGCGCGCTCGCGCGCGCGGGCGCGCGCTGGCGCGCGAGCGGGCGTCGGGGCGCCCCGCGGCGCCCCGCGGGCGCGGCGGGCCGGCGCCGGCGGGGCCCAGGAAGGCGGCGGCGAGCGGTGCGCCCTGGAGCAGCGGGGGCGGCGGGCGGGCGGGCGTCGAGGGGTGGAGGGGCGGCGGAGGCATCGAGGATCGTGCGGAGGATCGGGGCAGATATCCCCAACCTTCCAGGAGGGCTAAAAGAATAGCACCAGGACCTCGGCGTCGGAATTCCCGTCGGGGCTTTGGGCGGCCCAGATAGGCCTGTAGGTCTGGACGGCTATGTTTTACACTCTGGAAGGTCAGGGATCGAGGGAGATCAGGGGAAAGCGGGGGAGGTTGAGGAAGAGCACACGGGGAGGATCGGGGAAGTACGAGGCGCGCCGAAAGGCTGGCCGAGGATCTTTTCGGAAGCTCGAGGAGGCCCGAGGGAGGTCGGAGAGGATCGAAGAGGACCGAGGCGTGGCGGAAGGATGATCCCTCGCTCCTCTATCATCGTCGCCATCACAACCACCACCCACAACATCAACATCATCATCATCATCATCATCATCATCATCATCATCATCATCATCATCATCATCATCATCATCATCATCATCACCATTATCATCATCAGCAGCAGCATCATCATTATCATCAGCATCAGCAGCAGCATCATCATCAGCAGCAGCAACATCAGCATTATCAGCATCATCATCACCATCGCCATCACCAGCACCACCATCATCATCCTCATCGGCATCGCCACCATCAGCATCATTGTCAAAGACATAGCAATCAACATGTTTCCCCTCCTACTCGGCCTAATCCTCGTTCGTATCCTTAGCATAAGCTTCATCACCATCGTGATCATCAGCCATCATCATCGTCGGCATCATCATCATCATCATCATCACCACCGCCATCACCAACGCCATCATCAGCATCAGCATCATCTTCATCAACATGATCATCAGCATCAGCATAAGCATCACCATCAGCATCATCATCTTCATCATCATCGTCGTCATCATCATCGTCGTCATCGTCATCATCATCAGCAACACCATCAACATAACCATCATAATCACCATCACACTCGCCATCAGCATCATCATCATCAGCAGCACAATCACTATGGCCATCACGGTCATCAGAATCATCATCATCAACATCACCATCATCATCATCAGCATCATCATCAATATCCTCGTCAGCTTCGTCGTCGTCAGCGCAATCGTCATCATAATCAGCAGCACCACCAACATCACCATACCATCACCACCACCATCACAATCATCACAATCAGCACCATCGGCTTGATCAATACCATCATCATTGTTATCGTCATCATCAGCGTAATGATCATCATCAGCAGCATCAACATCATACGCATCATCAACGTCCTCATCATCTTCATCATCATCCTCATCACTATCCCCATCAGCATGTTCATCATCAACATTGTCAGCATCACGATCGTCATCACCACTACCACCAGCATCAGCATCATCAGCATACTCATCATCATTATTATCGTCATCATCATCATCATCATCTGTTTCAGTATCAGTATCATCATCAGCATCATCATCATCATCATCATCGTCATCATCATCGTCGTGATCGTCATCGTCATCGTCATCTGCAACACCATCAACATAACCATCATAATCACAATCACCTTCGCCATCATCAGCATCAGCATCAGCATCATCACCATCAACACCATCATCATCATCAGCATCAGCATCATCATCAGCATAAGCATCATCATCAGCATCAGCATCAGCATCAGCATCATCATCATCAGCATCTTCATCATCAGCATCATCATGATCATCATCATCATCATCATCATCATCATCATCATCATCATCATCATCATCATCATCATCATCATCATCATCATCATCATCATCATCATCATCATCATCATCATCATCATCATCATCATCATCATCATCATCATCATCATCATCATCATCATCATCATCATCATCATCATCATCATCATCATCATCATCATCATCATCATCATCATCATCATCATCCATTAACCCCTCCTCCCCCCGCGCAGCCCTCGACCGAGGAGCAAGATGTGGTCGGGGCGCCTGCGAACGATCGAGGAGGGCCGAGGGGGGGGGGGCGGGGACCGTGGAGACGCGGGCGAGGATCGAGGAGGATCGAGGAGCATCGGGGAGGACCGAGGACAACCGAGAGGGATCGAGGAGGGATGGAGAAAGGATCGAGAGAGGCCGAGAACATGCCGAGGAGCATGCTCGGGAAGGCGGCGGCGAGCGGCGAACCCTCATTCTGGCGCGGTCTCTCGGGCATCCGGCGCCGCCCTGCTCCGCCTCCTGCCTCCTGCCTCCTGCCTCCTCCCCCTCCTCCTCCCCCTCCTCCTCCTCCCTCCTCCTCCTCCTTCCTCCTCCTCCTCCTCCTCCTCCTCGTCCTCCCCCTTCCTCCTCAGCCAGGCCACGAGGCGGAAGGAGACCGCGCCGCCACAACCTGCTCTGCTTCCCCACGATGCCGAGGCAGTGGAGGGGCGAGGGGAGGGCTCCGCTGCACGCGCTGTCGCTGGTCGGCCAGGGCGTCCCTGCCGCGTGCCAAGCTCGAGCAGCCTGGCATGAACTGCCAGCCCACCCAGCACGCAACGAACGGCACCGAGAGGCCTCCTCCTCCTCTTCCTCCTCCTCCTCCTCCTCCCCCTCCTCCTCCTCCTCCTCCTCCTCTCCTCCTCCTCCTCCTCCTCCTCCCTCCCTCTTCCTCCTCCTCCTCCTCCTCCTCCTCCTCCTCCTCCTCCTCCTCCTCCTCCTCGGCCCTATCTTTCGCCGTGCACGCGACGAACGGCACCGAGAGGCACTCCTTCCGAGGCTGCGCCGCAGTGCCGCCCCGCGCTCCGCGGGCCCTCGCGGCCCGGTGCACCCCACGTGCGACGGCGCAGGGCAGGTGTGGGCTCTGGAGTCGCTCCGACACTCCTTCCGTCGGCGACGGCGGGTGGCGGCGAGGCCGAAGGGCTGCTCGAGGCAGAAGGGCTGCTCCAGCGGGTGGCGATTCGGGGCCGCCGAGTGGCGAATCGGCCGGCGTGCAAGGGGGGGGAGAAGGGACAAGGGCGGCCGCGCAGAGGCTCAGCGGAGGAGGAAAGCCGCTCGGGCGCGGAAGACTTCCGCGTCGACAAGGGCCGCAGCCCCACCTTGGGGCAGTCCACAGGTACCGATACCGCTGCTTCCCGGACCTCTCCTGGGGCGCGTTCTGCCCTGGATTTCGAGGCGAATCCAGCACTGGCGACGAGGGCCTCCCAGGAGGCCCAGAACATCAAGAACTTGGCACAAGGTAGCGGTAGCGGTACCGCTTCCTTCTCTGACATCTTCCCAGCTGTGGCGCTGGAGCGAGGTGCGCGCTGGTCTTAGGTCGGGCACGTCCTCCTGCACGGGACTGTGGAAGACAGGTGAAGAATTGCCAAAACCTGTTCAAACAGCAAGCAGCAAAGGAGTACGAAGAATCGCCGCCTGACAATTCGGGAGCGGCCAAGAGGGGGGTGTCTAAGAGGGGGGGGTGCAAATCATGACCGGCGGCATGTGCGCGGCCCAGCGGGGGGGCCTGGGACGTAATGAAACAAGAAGAGGCGCCATGAAATCTGGGGAAAAATCATGGCCCGCGCCATGAAGTCCACCCCCCCCTAGTCATCGCCCCCCTCTTTTCCGCTCCCGAACCTCTGTTTGCACCACCTCCGACCACTCCTCCCGCAGAGGGGCATGCCCGACCCCACGCGGGCCGCCGGCGCCGCTCCCAAGGCACGCGGCGACCCGCCCGCCGCGGGGCTCCCCCCGCGGAGGCGGGTAGCTCGTGGGCCCCGTGGGCGGCGCAGGGCCTCTGCCGGTCCGCAGCGGCGCCCTGCCCTCGGGGCCGCCCGCCTCCCGGGCCTCGAGTCGCCATGCGGGTCGGATCTTGCTCTTCGGCCGTGCCCTGTTCCCCCCCCCTGCCCCCCCCCCCCTGCCCCTCCTCGCTCCCCCTCCTCCTCCCTGCGCCCTCGATGCGCCCTCCTCCCCCATCCTCCCACCGCCTCCCCCTTTGCTTCCCCCTCCCGCCCCTCCTCTTCCTCCTCCCCGCAGCTCTCCACTGAAGGGGCTGAGCCCGCAGTCCCAACATGCTACCTCGCGGAGGTCACCAGCCAACCAACCAAACCCCTTCTCCTCCCTGCCCCTTCCCCTCCTCCTCCTCCTCCTCATCCTCCTCCAGCTGTTCCTCATCCTCCCTGCCCCTCCACTTCTTCCACCTCCCCCTCCCCGTACTCCCCCTCGGGATGCACGCAGCCCAGACAAGCTGACGACTGAGTTGTGCTGGGATGCGCGCGAGCTATGTTGTGACAGGTCTCTTCCAACGCACGCAGACAGATAAACTATAATGTTAATTCAATGTGTTCGAGAGTGTTGCATGCGCGAAATAATACTCCGAGTTTCTTAATAAGCGTCGGGGGGGTGTCACTCCCGCCGACAGCCCCACATCGACCCCCGTCGCGGGCAGCCACCGCGCGCCAAAGGCGCTCCGACCCCCGTCGCGGTGCGACGACGAGGCGAGGTTGACCCCCGTCGGGGGGGCACCCCACCACGCTAATTAAGAAATCCAGAATACGTGTGAGGCACATGCCTTCGGACTGTGAGCTCGATCGATACACTCATCAATCTGCTCGACCAGTCCCGACGCGCGGCTGCCACTGCCTGCGGGCCCCACACAAACACACAAGCGGCAGCCGAGCGGGCCGCGAGGTTCGCCTGCCACGCGAGCCTGCGGCATCCTCCATCGACCAAATGAATCAGAGTCCATCCCACAGAACATCGCCATTTTGAAGCATGGAAACTTTGCCATTCTCACAGAATCAATCCCACAAAATCTGTCCCACGTAATCTATCCCGCAGGACATCGCCATTCGCTTTTATATAGAACGCGCTTCACAGATGTTCCCACGCGGCCCCTACACTAGCGATGCTGCAGCTTAGAGCGCCAGAGGGCCATGGCTAGCAAAGACGAGCCGAACATCAAGCCTGAGCACGAAAAGAAGAAACTGTTGAAGGAGGTTTGCAAGCTCCGTGTCCCATCAACCC